CCGGATCTCCACCTCCCTACCTTTGCACTACAAGAACACTCATCTTGGTTAAGAAATCTAGAAAACTTTTTCACCGCTTCTTCATCACATCACTTCTCCAACTGGTCTTTCCTACTCTCGTCATCCTCCAGAAGATATTCTCACTCAGTATTACAATGGATCCAACATCATGGTGTTAAGCTTCAGTTCAAGGGCACTTCCCATGTTCCAACTTCAAAGATTATAGAAGTCAGAAAAATGGTAAAATCAGTTCTCCGGGCTTCTCCCCCCCTCCCGTTTTAAGCAAGCCCTAAAATTGAACTCCCCTCCTCCTCTCATTATACCTAACCACAACAGCCCCCCTCACCACATTAACTTCATTTCCTCAACAGATTCACAACTCCTCTCCTCAGGAGTCATAGAACCTTCCTCATATCCCATTGTAGTCAACCCTGTCTTTGCTACAAAGAACTCTTTCAAAACCTGTTTCATACTAGACGTCGGTAACGGTTTCGTTAATCTTTTCACAACCTTCCCTCCATTTCATTATGAATCAATTGATGACGCTACTACTCACCTATCTGGATCACCAACTCAAGACTTTCTCACATGTTTTGACATTAAAAATGACTATTACCATATTCAAGTACATCCACTTTGGCGTCCTTATCTGACTTTTCATTGGAATTGACTTAATTTTCAGTTCACAACACTTTGTTTCAGAATTTCTTCTGCTTGCTGGATTTTCACAACTGTTATGCAAGAAATCATGGCTGAACTCCGTATTCGTAATATTCATGCAACATCTTACATCGATGATTCTGCACTCGCTAACAAGGACCTACCCCTATTTCTATGACAGTCATTTAACTATGTTGCCCTACTCCATAACTTTTTTTCTTAATACCAAAAAATGTCTTTCATCTCAGTCCATACGTTTCCTATGATTCACTTTGGACTCCCACTCTAAACCTGCGTAGCACGGCGAACTTGTTCGCACCCCATCATGTTCACGCGAACAGCTCGCGAACATGTTCGGGCAAACATATTTTTTTCGTAAAAAAATAAAAATAAAAATATATTTTTTTTTTTGGTTTTTTATTTTTAACTCATGATTGGCTACGAATTTGAACATGACTCCAAGGCAAAAGTTGCTTGTATTGTTATTTTACACAACATATATTGTTTTCAGTTTTTCATGAGAAACTTTTTTTTTTTTTTAAATATTTTTTTATGTTCGCGTTCGGAGGGTTTTGGGCGCTTGTTCGCGTTCACCTCCGAACGCGAACACGGTGCTACTTAGCTCTAAACAAATAAGGGTCCCTGAAGACAAAATTCAAAAAATTATTACTCTCATCCAATCCTCTTCAAATCCTTCTAATATAACACTCGCCTAACTCGCAGGAAAACTCGCCTCCCTCTCCAAAACCTTTCTACCTACCCCCTCTACCTCTCATCACTCTACGAAGCCATTTTGCCTTCCAACGGGGACTCCCTTATTCCCATTTCCGATAACCTTATCCAAGACCTCATGTGGTGGATCTTCCACCTACCCCATCTCCAGGAAGACTCTAAATTTTCCGCCCTGCTTCCTTATCTATATTTATCGATGCCTCAACAACTCAAATCGCAACAGTTATTCACCCTTTACACAATGCACCTATCATACTTAATCAATGTTTATCCTAATCCTTGCTAAACTCATCCTCCACTCACAGAGAATTTTTCGCTATCTTAGAAACTTTCCAATTTTTCGTATCTGCTCACCCTCATCTTCTTTCCTCAGCCTCAATCAGACTTCACTCTGACTGTCAGGCTGCCACAACTCTACTCCTCTGAATGAAATCAACTAACGAATCTTTCAACCTATGACTACGAAACATCGTCACCATCGTACTCATTTTTTATTCCTTCCTCAGTCCTGTCTGGATACCTAGAACGTTAAATACAACAACTGACTATATTTCTAAGACTGAAGATAGTACAGATTGGGGATTGACAAAACACGTAAAGGTAAATATCTTCTTATAAATAGGTACACCAGCAATCGATCTCTTCATATCGGATTATCACCATGTATGTCCAACCTTCGTCTCCCGAAAGTGGTCAACTAAAGCTTCACAAATAGACGCCCTCTCACTAGATTGGAACTTATTACCATCCCTTCCCTATCGTTGGATTTTCCCACCCAACAACACTACTACATCACACTCTCTCCAAGGCACTCGCTAGCCCAGCTGCCTACCTCCTTATACTACCTTCATCTCAACGTACCACTTGGTACCCTCGCATTCTCTCACTCAACGTCATCCATCGTTTCACCATCCCCGAATCCAGATTTTACTGCCTCCCCAGCCCCAGGGTTCATTTCAATACCCCCAACCCGACAATCCTCGGCCTCATAACAATTTTCTTTTCCACCTCATTCCTCCTCTTCCACCTGCGCCGAATCCCATATCCATATCTCAGAAAAGTTCCCACGCTACTCTATTTACCCTGCCGCATCATCTCACCCAGACTCCAACCCTCCTCTATTCCCGCTTGAACTCCCCCGGTCCGAAAGCTGTGACCACTTTCCCCTTCATAAACTCCCGCCTCTTCAAATCATTTCTCTATTCGCTTGTTAAAACCACCTCTACTTACATGACCTTCACCACGAATAGACCGAAACAAATAACCCCTCCTTATATCTTGCCCCAATCGATCATAACTATTCAACAAATCTGGAAGCCAACCCAAGAACGTCTCCTCTTCTCCTTCGGGATCGCGCAACCTTATCATAAACCTTCCACCATGCCAACCAGTCTTAGTATACCCTGGCCGAACAACCCTCTGTCCAATATCAATCTCCTTGTATTGCAATCTCAATCCCTCACCACAACGCTGCCAAGTCTCCCACAAATACAAGAACGCACCCCCATCTCGATAAACCTGGGTTTCCGGATCTCCTTTCAATATCCTCACCTTCTCCCTAATATGATCTAGCACCCTCTTCAACTTTTTTCATCTCAATGGCCGCGCAGACTCTTCAATCACACCTCTCTGGAGGGAATACTCTCGGTACGCCTTGCGGAAAGCCCGCACTCTGCTACTCTGGCACGGATCTCCTTCCCCTTCTCTTTCGAGCAGTCGAAAACAAGCACTCAAGCAATTAAGAACCGCATCCACAGTAGAAGGGGATACCACCGGACCTTCAGCATCGGAAGTTTGACACCGGGCCACCGACTTTCTACCTCAACAAGCCACTGGCTGCTGATGAACGATAAAACATCCAGATCGATACACGTCATACAATCTCTTCCAACCTTGTTACATTCCAACTTCCAACCACTCATTCAAGGCAAGGAGAAGCTTCTTCATTCCACCTCGCCATCGCCGACCAACCCCATACTCGCAAACCAACACACTGCTCCACTCAAGACCGACTTCATATCCACGTGCAAACTCCAGAGTGCTACGCTTCTGTCTCCAGCTGCCATCGCTCAGGCGTTCATTCCACAATTCCCTGTAGGACGATGATGTCACTTGCGGGACGATGGAGGGAATTGGGCGGTTCTAGGAGGTGTGCGGGCCTGCGGCCCATCTCCCTGACTCACTTCTGAGAGATCTGGCATCATCTACAGAGTTTCATTTTCCCATTTTATCCGGAAGAGACCTATGTAACATTATGTCAACAACTCCGCACCTGGTTGCACGCAAAGTGAACGAAACAGATTCAACAATACAACATCCTCGACCCTCAACAACAACCAGCAGCGACCTACGGTTGGAAATTGGTACCGGGACATCAACATTTGGGACCTGACCTCCCAACCGCAGATCTACCACATCGAGGGCCTTCAAGACAACAGAGATTGCAGCTTCTAAAAATCTAAGATGGACATATTCCATCTCAGCATCTACGGTCAATTCGGGATTTTTGACGTGACACTTACCCTGGCTGGAGTGCGGCCTCGCTGGCCCGACCGCTCCCACTGTTTTGACCCGCGACTGTATAAGTCACAGGCGCTTGATAGCTTGCGTGCTTTCCCGAGCTGTGCCTTCCAGGCCCCGACCGCTCGCAGCATTCATCGCAAACGTGAACCTGCGCGCGCGCCACACAAGGGTCAGGTCCTTCAGAGGTCAAGTCCTTTTCTCTCGCCTTGATTTGGTGAAGCGGTCCCGCCCGCCCTCGATTTTCCCACGGTGTGTGGGCCTGCGGCCCATCTCCCTGACTCACGTCTGAGAGATCTGGCATCATCTACCGAGTTTCATTTTCCTATTTGATCGGGAAGAGACCTGTGTAATAAATAGAGAAAAAATGGTCCAATTGTTTTGTGAAAAGTCACAGATGAGTCAGGTGGCCAGAGCTCTGAGTCACCAGATCTGAGTGCAGCTGATCTGTGCAGGCAGATGTTGGAGACTTTCCCTTTGCTTTCTCACACTGTTCCCTGAGTAGAACGCCGGCGTTCTATTCAGGGAACAGTATGAGAAGTTTTCTTTTTGTTTTTTTTTCCCCTCTACAGGTACTACACTTGATCGTAGCCAAAACGCGGAGAAACGTATGTAAAAAAGAAAAAAAGAAAAAAAGAGAGAACGCTGTGTGATCCCATGTCTGGCCTGGACGTGGCCCCTCGGTTCCTGTCGGGGAAGATCGTCTTTCTTTCTTTCTTTCTTTTTTTTTTTTTTTTTTTTTTTTTTTTTTTCTAAAGATCGTCTTTCTATGGCTCCTCCGTATGCCTTGGGGTTTGGGAGAATCCAGGAATACTCGACCAGCCAACGCCTGTGTCACGGGGTGTGAATAGAGTAGTAGAGTTTTTTTTGAGGGGGAGAATCCAGGAATACCGACCCAACGCCTGTGTCACGGGGTATGAATAGAGTAATAGAGTACTCGTCTACAAAAGAGTGTTTCAGTCTTTTTTTTTTTTTTTTTTTTTTTTGGGAGAATCCAGGAATACCGACCAGCCAACGCCTGTGTCACGGGGTGTGAATAGAGTAATAGAGTACTCGTCTACAAAAGACTCTGCGTGAGGTTGTTTCGATCGTGTTCCTTGGAGTCCGCCTGCGACGTAACGCGTGTTGCTTGGAGTCCGCCTGCGACGTAACGCGTGTTGCTTGGAGTCCGCCTGCGACGTAACGCGTGTTGCGTGGAGTCCGCCTGCGACGTGCCGGAGAGAAGGGAGGCAACAAGAGTTCGATTCGTGCTCCTTAACCTCACTTCGGCAAACAAGATGGGAGACTGTGGCTGCCCCTGCAATCCGTGCAAGTGCACAGATTGCCAGTGCGGCAAAGGGAAATAGTTATGGAGGCCATTGGAGGGGTGATGGGGCGGAAGAGGTGAAGCCAGCCGGAGGGGCGGCTGGCTGCTTGATTGGTGGACCAACAGAGACGACGATGGATGAACGTCCTGTCGTTGATTTTACTGTTCTATGGCCGGCCGGGCTTGCTACGTTGTCATCGGATGACCAGCCTCTGGTTTGATCTATGGACCTGCACCTTGTTGGTCTGATTGATCCAACGGCTACCGTGTTTGATTGCGGGTGATCTTTTCGTCTGTCTGATCTTGCTGGGGTCAGATGGCGGGTTCTTTTGGACTACCGGTAGTAAGTTTTGGGTGGGTCTCCATCTTGACATCGAGTGAAGCGGTTGCCTGGTCTCATCGGTGGAGTACTGTTTTTAAAGATGATCCGCTAGTGGTCCTCCAACTGTACCAGGTTTTTGTTTCATGGCCGGACCAGGAGCAGACCGTCCTGCAAGGCCATCCGCAAGGAATTTGAAGGAACGAGAAGGGAAGAAAAGCTGTCGGACCATCACCAGATTGACGGCGGACCTATCCATATCCAAGCGGCTGGAAGTTGCCCCGCGCGTGCGCGCGCGTGTGTGTGTGTGTGTGTGTGTGTGTGTGTTGGCGGCTTCTTTTGTCCGAGTGTCTGCGGTGTGTGTCTGCGGGGTGTGTGTGTGTGTGTGTGTGTGTGTGTGCAGCTTCTTTGTTCCGGTGTCTGCGTTGTTTCATCGTTATGGAGTTTCGACGACTATCGAGTACTTGGAATCCGGCAAGGATTGGAAGCAGAAGAGAGGCGTGAGAGAAAAGGAATTTGGAGCAAAACCTGTGTGTGTGTGTGTGTGTGTGTGTGAGAGAGAGAGAGAGAGAGAGAGAGAGAGAGAGAGAGAGAGAGAGAGAGAGAGAGAGAGAGAGAGAGAGAGAGAGAGAGGAGGAGGAGGAGGAAGGACAGGCAGTGAGTGTTGAGGGGATGACAAGGAGAGTTCCTTGACGTTTTCTTGGCGAATATAACACCCGCAGGCGGTCAGACGATATCGATATTGATATTGATATTTCTAAAATCTTGTTCCGATTGCAAAAAACAAGAAAAAGGAAAAATCTCGTTCCGATTGTTAGGTGCAGGGAGAGAGAGGATTTATTTGTTGTCGTTTCTGCTTTTTTTTTTCTCGTTTTTTGTAAGGATAACTTCAGTAGAGTCACGAAAACGAGTTATAACTGCACTATGGGGCAAGATACAGTTTGCAATTGCACTTCAGGCACTCTACCTGGCCAGTAAGATGGGTTGTATACATTGCCCAAACTGTAATTCGAAACTGTATCTTGGCCCATAGTGCAATTACAACTCATTTGTGTGACTCCCGGGTAGTTTCCCCTTTTTTTTTCTTTTTTTTTCACCATTTTTATGATTTTTTCTCCTTCTTGGGCCTGGAGAAAATTCCAAAAAGCCGTAGGAGAAAATTCCAAAAAGCCGTAGCTAAACGGAGTGGAGGATGCGGAGAAGTCGAATCACGGATGATGAAGGGCGTTGCTGCACGGCACACGAAACGAAAAACGAAACGGATGTATCTTTCCGCAGAAAATGGCCAGGTTCATCGGTTTGCTATACTTAGTAACGAGTGTATTTTGCCACCTTTGGTGGGCAGATGCACTCGTTTCGTTTTCGTTTCGTGTGCCGTGCGGCGAGACCCGAAGTGATGTTCCCGATGATGATGAAGTTCTTTTTTTTTTTTTTTTAAAGCTTCTCGGATCTCCCCTCCCTTCTTGGTTTCCTTTTTCTTTTCTTTTTTTTTTTGTGCGGGCTTGCCTCTCTGCCTTTTTTTTTTGTTGTTGTTTGCGAGGAACTCGTCTGTTTTTTTTTTTTTTTTTTGGAAAGTGTAAATCTTTATTGCATCAAAATGGGGCGAAGCCGGGGACCTCACAATTCGACCCCCGGAATTATTCTGGCAGCCGCAGCCAGTTTAGCTTATGAGCCAAGCTCTGTTCCCTGTCCAGCTCCAAAAGGCTACCTGGAAACCGGGGGCTAGGTCCCACTTGCACGAATTAAGAGATACTGACCGTAGATAGCAAAGATCAACGGCCGAAATCTCCTAATTTGCGCAAGTGGGACCTTGCCCCGGGTCCAGTATCCCATTCCGAACCCAAAATACTTTCCAAAAAAACTCGTCTGTTTTTTTTTTTTTTTTTTTAATCTGTGGGGAGTCGACTGTGATCTGCTTCAGCGCGTTTTTTTTTTTTCCAGCGCTTTTCGCTGCGTTGGATGTGAAGTAGAAAGGACAGGAAAAAAATTTCGGAAAAGTGAAAAGGAAAAGGATAGTTGAGGTTGTTGAAACGCGAAGAAATAGGGGTGGCTAAGGATCTGAGGTAGGGTCCCACTAACAGAGAGGGTTGGATTAAGTGCCTGAATCTGGTTGTGGTTTGTGCGAGAGATTCAGGAAAGCAGATCAATGACAAGTCTGTGCACTGATCCACAAACACGTCCGCATTCAGGCGTCAAATCCAATCCTCTTTGCTAGTGGGACCTCGCCCCTTAAGGTGACGTTTAACGGGTGGCTGAGAATTTGTTAAAAAGATCTTAGGGTCGAAGGAGAAGGAGGACCTATTGTGCTGTCCTTCGGGAGATCCGTTAAATTTAGAACGTCGTGCTAAATTTAGAACGTTGTGCGAAATTTAGAACGTTGTGCTGTCCTTCCTGAGATCCGTTAAGTTAAATTTAGAAGATACACAGAAGATTAGCATGGCTCCTGCGCAAGGAGGGAAAAAAAAGGTAAGGAAAAAAATATATATATATGCTTCGTCCACCCGAAAAAAAAAAAAAAAAGCAGAAAAGAACAAAAGTGAAAACAAAAGGTAGATGAGAATTTGGAAAAGCTGATGGGGTTTCCAAAAAAAAAAAAAAAAAAAAAAAGCTGACGGGGGGAGGAGGAATGTTCATTCCGCAAGGAAAGAAGGAAAATAAAGGAGTCATAGGGCCTCGCTCGACTACTCTCGACGTGCACAAAAGACACAAATCATGGCGGTCGTGTATAATAAAGGAGTCATAGGGCGTCGCTCGACTACTCTCGACGTGCACAAAAGACACAAATAATGGCGGTCGTGTATCTTTCCACGTTCTAGCGGAAGATTCGCTCTCTTTTTGCACATTTGGAGAGTAGTGAAGCGAGGCCCATAGATCCGTATTTTGCACATTTCGAGAGTAGTGGAGCGAGGCCCATAGATCCGTGCATCTGGGCCCAAGGCCCTTCCTCTGTGCAAGGACGGATTCGAACAGGCGAACAGAAATGGAACCAAGAAACAAAATCAAATCTTCTCTTCTGCTGTGCCTGTTCTTGTCGGAGTGTTTTCCCGTTTATACTGTATGTCCATGTCTAAGGGGGCATACCCACACTAGCACGCATTTTCATAAAGTTATAAATTGTAGGTGATTTTTTGGGTCACAAGGGCTACGGATTTTGCGTTTTCACGCAAATGGGCACGTAAATGTCAGCGTCTTGGACAGCCGCGGGAACCACTGGAGGTCCCTGCAATTGCGTATTTCTTTCAGACCTGTTTCTTTCTGGGAATAAAAAGAAAAATTCGACCTTTGGTGGGCACCTCGCGGAGGAAAAGAAAAGGAAAAAAACAGGAAAAAGGGATGGATTTTTATGCAATGGTGCTGCATGACCCCTCCGCGCATATAATCGCATTCCTGGAGCAGGTCGAGACTGTGTCCTTTCTGCTTTGTGACGTATACGGGTGTGCTGTGTGACTGGGAAGTGCCGTATAATTGCAATTGGCTCACATATAATTAGTGATTGCACGTGCTAGTGTGAGTATGCCCTTAGTTAAGTAATATAACACAGCCATTTCCCCAAATTCGAGATAATATATGCATTGAGCTCCATGAATCTGAATTAAATGTGTACGTAACAGCCATTTCAATGATTTCACGAAATGTGAGATTAGTTTTTAACGGCTATAAAATTTTCACGGAGTTTGGGATCGTTTTTTGTCTGCTAGAAAGTTGTCGTGGAATTTGGAATCGTTTTCTTACTGCCTGGGACTCGGTAAATTGCTTTGATACATACCTGGTCCATACCTGGTGCACCGATGTTGCGTAATTGAAAACTTACGGAATATCATAGTCAACAAAATGTCTTTGAAATATGACAATGGCGACAGAGCTGCCACAAGGACACCCACACACACCCACACACACCCACAAACACCCACACACACCCACACACACCCACACACACCCACACACACCCACAAACACACAGGTTTCGACCTCTTGATGAGTCGTTGAAAGGCCGACGAAACAGACTGGCACGGTCATGCTCTTTTTCTGGAGCTGCGCATAGCGAACATGACAACTCACAGACACACACAGGCACACGCACACACACACAATGTCATACGTGAGATAGTAAAAGTCCGACAACAGTCTGGTACAGATGCCGTTTTTGTGGAGTAGTGTATAGCCAACAAGACAACACACACAGACAGTGGCTTTGGCATACTGAGCCACACGGGCCCCAGTTAGGGCCCGGTTCCGGACAGGCAGGGTTAGCCTAAGGGACGACGGTTCAGATGAGGCTCAGAGGGGCCTGGACCACGGCGGTTCAGGCAGGCCCAGGCCGAACGGCCACAAGGCCGGTACCGGTCCAGCCTAGGACCCACCGGCGGCGCTTCAGAGGCTGCCACGATTTATGCGCCAACCAGTTTCAAAACTGGACCGTTGATCTGGATCAACGGTCCAGTCCGGTAGGTACCAGTAGGCAAGAGGCCGGCCCAGCACTACAAAAGGCTGGGTACCAGCCTCAGTCCGGTAGATTAGTACGAGGTTAAGTCTGGGCGAAGTTAGTCTTCAGGATTAGCGCAGCTTGGCAGTGTTAAGCAGATTAGCGCAGCACAGCAGCGAGAGCCAGAGCAGCGAGGAGACAGCGAGCTCAGCAGCGAAGGCAACAGCGCAGCGGCCTTGCTGCGCCATAGCCAGGTACCGGGAGGAAGGCTCTGCCTTCTCTCCCTCTGTTCCTCCGCCCTCCAGCTCTCTCTCTCTCTCTCTTCTCCCTCTCTCTCTCTTCCTACCTTCTCAGTCTAGTCTGGGTTCTCCTACGGGACTACTGCAGATGAGAGATGGTTACGAGTTTTGGTGACATCTGAGACAGCGACATGGGGACTACGAGTTGAGGACTATTTTGGGGATCTGATTTCATCTTCCTTCTGAAGGTGTACTTGACATTGTGAGATTGACATCTGGGATATTGTGAGACTTGGCATTCGCGACATTTC